GAAATCTGTTATTTTATATGTGACAATATATATATCTGTCTCTTATACACATCTAGATGTGTATAAGAGACAGGAGAGGGAGAGAGAGAGAGAGAGAGAGATGTTGGTCACAGATTGGGGCTGTCGAATTTTAAATTAAATAAACTTTAGATTAGATAGACTACTCCAGAAAACTTGGCGGCAGGAAGTGACTCCACCACCTTATGCACATGCGGAAGATGTGCAATTTGAAGCGCCACACCACAGCGCCCATCCCATTGATCCGTAACTGATTGATTGATTGATTGAATGATTGACTGATTGATTGGTTAGTTAGTTGGCTGATCGATTGATTGATTGATTGCAATTCGAAATCTCAATGTCGATCCCAGTTCTGATTCCATTATCCAGATCGACAGCCACATGCCTCCATGGTATCCACTGCATGTCGGTCGTCTAATTGCTTCGCTTGGTTGCTTGCTCGCTGGCTCGATTGCTTGCCGCTTGATTGATTGATTGATTGATTGACTGACTGACCGATTGCTCATGTGGCATGTGGCTTGGCATGAAGTCGTCGTCGTAGCCAGGAATTGCCGACGTGTCGATGCCAACCGCACCCAATGTTATGCAAGCTAAGGCCTCCAACTATAGCATACCTTGCAGTGCTGCTGCCGCCTCGGCTGCTGGTATTGCTGCTGCTCTTGCTGCTGTTGCTTTTGTAAATGCTACTGTTGCTTTGACTCTGAGGATGAGGATGCTGATGAGGATGATTAGCTGGAGGTTGGTTCTCATGTAGCAGCTGGGTAATCGGGCCTGGCAGCAACGATGCTCTGTCTGGGAGATTGAGGTTGGTGGAGCTGTTCCTACCACTCTGGCTCTGCAAACCAGCACCCCCCCTCCCACTTGCCGGTCGCCCTGTTCTCAGACTTAGACCAGAGTGCGCAACGGGTAGATATACACCCCATCGGCTTATCGGATCACTATTCTCACTTCCTGCACCTCCTCCAACCCCTCCACTCCCTCCTCCTCCTTCTCCTCCTCCTCCTCCTCCTCTGCTACTGCTGCTGCTGCTGCTGTCGATTGCGATTGACGTGACTTGCTTGTCCGGCAATAAGGTAGCTGTGGTTGACGTGGTGTCTGTCACAGAATCTTGAGGAGACGGAACAGATGCCGTTGTACTTTGTGCAGGTCCAGTTGATGAACCAGTTGGAACAGAAACACAAACACTTGGAGGAACAATAGCAGAACAAGGCTGGCCTGAACCTGGACCCAAAGATGCACCAAAGGTTGGTTTGCTGCTGAGCAATGGCATCAGCCCGCCGCTTCCAAGCGCAGGCACTCGCCCACTCGTGATCGCGTTCTCTCTCCACGGGCTATTTACACCACACAGTCCCTCTGCACCTGGTCCAGCCGCTGGCACATGGTGCAACCTGGATGATCTGCGGTTGTTGGCGTCCATACCGTGAGCTGACAACACACCGCATGTCGATAAGTCATGACCGGAGCGGCCATATCCATCGTGGTCATCTGAAAAGCCTGGTACACTATTTGAACTTGTTAACACACCAAGAGGAACGGGAGCAGCAGGTGCAGCAGCAGCAGCAGCAGCGCAATTCGAAACGGGACCAAGACCAGCAGTGGAACCAGGACTGAATCCTGGACCAGGAGCAGGAGCAGCAACTGAAGGTCGCTGAGCGGACGGCACCCCTGACAAGGGCCTGCAAAGCCGAGACGAGGCTGTGGCAGCTTGACAGCCCTGTATGAGCATACTCTCTAGCGAGTTCCTATTTCGTGGGCTCCTCGCACTTAGGTCTTCCAACAGTTTACGCCCTCCAAGCCCGCCTCCTAGCCCCCCTCCTACTCCTCCGCCATTGAATGATGGCCGAGCAACCCCATTGCCAAGCATACCCAGGATATCTGCTGTGGAACGGGAGATGAGATCTGCCGACATGGCCGCCACAAGCATGGCATGGTCGAGGGGAGCTGCATGATGATGAATGCCCGCCAAGGCCTTGCGGCTTGTCCGTTTCCGTTTTGGTCTTTTCTTCGCCTTGTGCGTATGATCATGCCCGTGTGAATGCTGCTGTCCTATTTTGAAACTCCCCTCCCCCTCTGCCGCCGCCGCCGCCGCCGCCGCTACAGCAGCAGAGCAATCGGCCATATAGCCGGGTCCAGATATCCCAGCCAAAACTGGTCCTGCTCCTGACCCTGTTACAGCAGCTTGATTGCCCAACATACCATGATTATAGCCGACTCCCCCTCCTCCCCCCACCAAGGTGGATGATCCTACTGCTCCGACGCCTTGCTCGCCACTCCCTCCAGCAAGTCCCATGGCACTTCCACCTCCTTGCCCCCTGTTCATGAACACCCCTTTTCCGGTGACCTGCAAATCAGGCAAGATACCCACTCTTGTGGGAACCACCTGAAGAGGAAGCAACATCCCACTCTTCTTAATGCTGCTATTATTGTTGTTATGCACTATGTTCAATATCCTTTCTCCCGATGAGCTACTTTCTCCATCTGAGTCTGACGCCCCATCCATTGGATCCGTAGCCACTGCAGCGCCAGCAGTGGCGCTATCCATTTCCTTATCCCCTGCACTTGGCAATGACCGTAGCGCGACAATTGCAAGCAATTCCCTGGCCGCTCTTTGCACCGCCGACCTGTCGGTTGGATTGCAGTAGTCCAAGAGCGTCTCACACAAAATTTTTCCCATGAACTCGAAATCGCGTGTTGTGAAATGCTTTCCGATATGATCACCCACAGTCGATCCGGCAAAGGAAGCCTCCAGCGTGAAGCTGTTGAGCCGTTGAAACTCGCGCCAACAGACCACGCGAGCTGTCGATTCTTTCGACTTCTGGACCTGAGAATGACAAGAACAAGCGGCACGGTCAGGAGCCAAGAAAGGGGGGGTGGGGAAAGAGGAGGAGACAGGACAGCAGAGGAGAGAGAAGGACAGTAGAGAAGAGCAGAGAAGAGAGGAGGAATGTAGGCAAACAGGCACATGCATCCTTCACATTACACAACCAGTACATTTCCCAGCCAACAGACCCCACATGCGCCGTCAATTCTTTAGACTCCTGGACCTGAGGAGGACAACAACAAGCGGCACGGCCAGGAGCCAAGAAAGCGGTGGGGAAAGAGGAGGAGACAGGACAGCAGAGGAGAGAGAAGGACAGTAGAGAAGAGGAGAGAAGAGAAGAGCAATGTAGCCAAACAGGCACATGCATCCTTCCCATTAGACCATCACTACGTTTTCCGGCCAACAGATTTAGACTTCTGGACCTGACAAGGACAACAACAAGCGGCACGGTCAGGAGAAAAGACAGATGTGGGGAAAGAGGAGGAGAGAGAAGGACAGTAGAGAAGAGGAGGAGAGACGAGAGGAGGTATGCAGCCAAACAGGCGCATGCATCCTTCACATTAAACAACCACCAGTGCGTTTCCCAGCTATCTTGCTCCAACGCTGCCGTATACGGAGACCTGAAAGTTGCAGCGTCGGAGCAACAAACCTGCAACTTTCAGGTCTCCTCCGCCTACTGGACCGAAATGGCTCGCCTTCGACAGAACGGCAGGCAAAAGAGGAAAAAATGTTGCGCCTGCGCAGGTTTGTTTTTTATTGCTGTGCAGCCGGCATCTGCGTCAGTAAAAAAGTGGCTAGGAAGCACAGGTGGTTCAAGGAAGATAGAGCAAGGAGCAAGGAAGGACAGAAGAAAAGAGGAGAGAAAAACAGAAGAGAACTGTAGCCAAACAAACGAATGCATCTTCTCACATCAAGGGGATATAAGAAAGGAGCAAGGGACCACCAACGGCCTTGGCTCAGTTGGTACACCCATGAACCGTTGTAATACAGACCCGAGTTCGAATCCAGATACTGTCAGACGAACAGAATAAAATCATTCTGAATTACCTGGGGCCGGTCAGTTCAACGATGATATCTCAAGGCCATCGCCCTTTTTATTTAAAAAAAAAACAAATAGAAAGGCGCAAGGAAGTCCTTTGGGGCATCTGTTACCGCGGACCTGGACACCAAGAGCCGATCCGGACCCAGACAACCGGTCGGTCCGGGTATGAAACCGATCCGGACCCAGACAACTGGTCGGTCCGGATATGAAGCCGATCCGGACCCAGACAAGTGGTCGGTCCGGATATGATCCGGATGTACGGATTTCCGGACCAGTTCGGACCGTTCGGGACATGGTCTGGATCGGTCCGGATGGTCGGGATGATCATGTCTGGATCAGTCCAGATTGGAAAAAAAAAACAAAAAAAAACTGGCAGGTCTCTTATGCATGTTGAATGCGGTTTCATCGTATAACCGTGACTTACGGGGAATTGTTGCAGGAAGACATAGCTGTTGGCGTAGATGACAAACATGAATGATCATTCCTTGACATGCAAAAAGGTTTTATTCCAATTATTTTTGGATTTCAATTGAGTCGAATCTAATATTTGTAAAACAACTCACTGTGCTGGCACAGTCACTGCAGAGCACAAACTGCAGCAAGGGAAGAAAAAGTGAAGAAACAAAAAAAAGAACACTCCACAGTAAACTTGAATAAAGCTAAATATTAAATAAAGTTCAAGACTTTAGCAGTTCAGAATTTAAAGCTCAAAGTTCGAAGTC